CCCCAAAACCCCAAAACCCCAAAACCCCAGCAACTAATAATCTCTGTTTAGATATCAAATGAAATAAAATAAATAATCTTTAATATTTAGAGCCATCACTTTCAATATCAGAAATCATTGACCAACAAACGCTTGACTTCTCTTGCTTTTTGAGAGCTTTTACCCCATTAAAATAAATCCTCTAGAGTCTTTTCGCCCTTTTTAATAGGTGCTGGCTTTTCATTGACTGTCTTGCTAATAATCTATAATCCCTTCCAAGTTCCCTTCTTTTCACAACCATCTGATAAATATAATACTCCTTCTCCATTCCTTTCATCATCTCTCCACTAGCCTTCATATATCTCCTTAGTTTTAAACTCTTAAAATCTCCCAGTCCCATGCTTTTTGTCCCTTTGATACTCTCCCTAGTAAAAATCACCATTTGAGTATTTATATAGACCCTAGCCGTGCTTCATATCTTCCAAGAACTTGCCCTCGTATTAATCACCATCACTATAGATTATTTTTCCATGGCCTTCCCTCTAGAATTATTGATTAATAGAGCCCTCGTAAATATCTCCAGTTTCTTAGTAAATTAATTTTCCCTTGGTTGGACAATTACCTAGCAGAAAATCACCCTCAAATACGAATTTCTACTATATAAAAGTCATCTTTCCTGGCCCGTGGAACAAATCATTCTTAAAGTGGCCTTCGTATTTCTTGTTTTGCTTCTTGAGTTTCATTACACCATGCATTCTTTGATCTTTGTCCCAATGTCCTTTGAATTTGCTTCCATCTTGCCACTCCATTTTTCCAAACCCGTGCTTTCTTCCATGCTTGAACTCACCTTTATACTCAGCTTCCTATTCGAAATAACCAGGTACTGGTACATGTCTATACTTCATTTTACCCTTGCCATCAAAGCATCCATCTTTAAAGTAACCATTGTAAACATCTCCATTTTAAAAGAAAGCCTTTCCCTTTCTTTGTAGTCTACCATTTCGAAAAAACCCTTTGCCTTCCTTTGAATTCTCGTATCTATTGTGGCCAGCATCGACAAATACTCCATCTCCTTCAACTCTATCATCGATAAATTCTCCTGTAAACTCAGATCCATCTTCCATACATAGTTTTCCCTTGCCATGTCTTTTGTCTACAACCCAATCACCTTCATAATAATCTCCATTTTTATAAAAGTAGGCCCCTTTTCCATGTCTCTTTGCTTGTGTATTAATTATTCCATCATAGTATTCGCCATTTGGATACTAAGAAATATGATTTTATTTGTAATCTTACCAATATCTGATATTTTTATCCAGCAGTTACTCTTCCATTATTCAAGAATTTTCCACCAATAACTGTTCCATCTATTTTCACCAGAATTCCATTGCCAATCATTTCATCATTGAGCCATTCTCCTTTGTAATATCCACCTTTGAAAAACTTGCAAGCTCCAAATCCTTCCCTTTTTCCTTCCTTCCACACACCTGAATATATATCTCCACTTTCTAAAAAGCCTATTCCCATCCCATTTTTCATTCTTCCTTTTAGTTTCTAATCTATATCTGTATTTTAAATCCTGATACTTCCATTTGTTTGTGAATTATTGGTCATCATGCTGTCAGAGTAAGCTTAATGATATCTCTGAAGATCTCTCTCTATCTCCTCAATCACTTTTCTCAATTCAGACGGAATGATCTTCTCGGTTTTATCATTGATCTTTGGCTTAGTCAATACATTAGGTTTATCAACCATCGATTGCAATTAAATCTTTTTTCTTTCTCTAATATATAGTGATGATAGTGTATCCTTCGAGTTATTAGATTAAAGAACCATGTTTTAAGATTCCTTATTCCAGACCAAGCAAGTTTATAATTCGCTTGATGGTGCTGAGGTTTAAACAATTTACTATTTGCTAGTTTTATATACTGCGAATTGTCTTTGTGAACTTGATTTACTCAAATTTGAGGATGAAAAACTCTTCTTAAGTTACTGAATTTAATGGAATTTATTTTAATCAAAGGTATCTCCTCTTTTATGAACCTCTCGAGACTGGGTAGAGTTGAAAGCAGAGCTCAGATTTCCGTACTCAGTGACCCTAGATTATGCTGAAGGAAGTCTTGAATTTTGAGTTTCTTGCTTAAGCCAATTTACTTTTTTCGAAATGCTTTATTATCCATCTTTTTTCTTTTAGTCTCATTAAACCTTGATGAGGTTTTATCTTGAAAGAAGAAGTTAGTGTCTTTTTGGAAATTTGTATTTTGGTTTTTAACTGTGACTCTATCATGAATCATCTGACGATGCTAGTCTGTTAGGAGAGCATCACTTAATTTGACTGGATTCTGCACAAGGTCTTTACTTCTTACTTCTGCTGATGAAATCATGTTAAGAAACGGTGACTCTTTATTTTAAAAACACATAGACACCACTCTGTTTGGTTCGCTACTAGGAAGTTTAACAGAGCTCTAACTTTTCTTAATGCTTAAAGACTGTCTTATGATATAAGGACTTTGTTGTCGAGATGATTGCCTGGATGCTTTATTTTGTGACTAATTATACTGAATGGTTGCTTAAGGTTAGGGATCACTATATTCTTAATGATTTCTTAAAGCATTAGTTTATCTGAATGCAGTACTGGACAATTTGCATTTCTTGTAGTCTATATCGTGAGACTTAGTTTTACCAGACTCTCCTTTCATGTTAATTGTTTTAGATTCTTAAAGTTTTCTGTTTAGTAATCTCTAGATACCTTGAGCCATCTGAAATGAAAGTGACTTTGCCATTATTAGATTATTTATCGAACTAAAATAAAAATTTGCTATTAATATTCCTACGGGGTTTTGGGGTTTTGGGGTTTTGGGGTTTTGCGG